CATATTTTAATCATAACGTTGTGTCTTCCTTGTTGCTTTGGTCGAAATATTACTCTATAAGTACCATCACCATTGTCTATCGCTGTTGTCTCAGTCAGCTTTTCATCAGGGCCACCAATGGTAGTATCCAAACTGATTCCAGACACGCCCAGTGGTTTTCCATCCATTCCATGTGGGGTGATAGTAATTTTACATTCAGTACCAACACACTTATCAATGGCCTGAATATCACACCTCGTCTTTCCACCATAACCAACAAATACTGCCCTCTTCACTAAACATTCAGGTACATCTTTTTGATGAAAGCAGTGTGGGAATTCTTCAACTTTGACAACGTGAGGTGAAATAACTTTTGAAGACACTTTGTCCATCTGACTACTGATGTCATCTTTTGCAGTTAATAGTTCAATGTCACTGCTATGTTTCAATGCGTGTTCTGCAAATTCAGCAGTGCTATTAGTGACTGTAAGTTCTAATTCGAGGTCATTCATTTCGCTATTTAAACAAGATTCTACCAAGTCCTCTTGTTTTTTCACTTCAGAGAGAAGTTCTGTCTTTCTAATTTCGAGTTTCCTAAACAATTGATCGAAGAAATTCGTGATTTCTTTTTGTTCATTTGTGCTACTGTCTTTTAAGTTGGCCTGCTCCGCGTCTACTTCTCTGATTAGAGTTTTTAACACGTTGCTCCTTTTTTCCAAAACTTCTAACTTTTTTTGTATGATTCCAGTATATTTTCCTAACGCCTTCTCAATCTCGATTGGTTGATGGCCATCCGCTTTATTGTGATCCAAAAACGCACATTGCAGGCAAATGGCTGATTGACAGGCTTGGCTATCACAAAATAGTGTAAGCTCCTGATTTTTATGATTTATACCTCGGGAGCAATATGTTTTACGTCGCAGCATGGACTCATCTATACTATATTTTGTCAATTCCTCCATTGGTTTCAGTTCATGGGTTTTTAAACCAAGTGAATAGGCATGTGCTTCATCGCAAAGATTGCAAAGGAATGCACGGCAATTCATACAAAACGAGATGGCAGAGGCATCTTGATTTCGGTTACAGCTCTGACATGGGATGAAAAGTTTCTTGGTTACCTTTTCCTGTGTTACAAAGTATTGTCGCTGATTTTGTATGATAAAATTATTAGGTATACCATCAACGCCGCTATGTGGAGTTTGCGTTTTTTGTCTGCATTCCGGGCAATCGAATTCCATCGTTGTTCCAATATGGCTGGACAAACACGATTTACAGTATGTGTGCAGGCAGGGAAGATATTTTGGAATCTTCTCTTCATCATTGTACGGCTCTTCGCATAGTTTACATGTTAGAAAACGCTCGTCAAATTCGTCCTTGCTTATTTGAACACGTTTAGCATCTGCCATGATAATGGATACCAAATATTTTTCTGAAATATATAAGTGAGCTCGAGAGTTGGTTGTTAATATTTCTAAGTTCTAGGCATT